TACTTAAACTGGGCCTCCATCTGAGCCAACCAAAGCTCTGGGTCCTCAGGTATAAATTTGGGCATACGAGCTTGTAGGCCCAATACGCTCGTTTCACCTGCCGCAGCGATAGCGCCGTTCTCTTTACCCTCGGAAAATTGAATAAACATTATGACTCATGTGTGAATCCAAGGGAAAAAATGAATAATCAAATTGAGAGAAGGATGGTCGAACAACATCGAACCTCACGGTACTGGTGCAGTATAGGCGATTGAGTAAATTAGGTATCTAGCGATGTAAGCAGCTACTAAGTGCAAATATCAAAATATGTAGGATTTCGTAAGCAAAAATTGGTTTAAGGGTAAAACAATTAAAAAATATAGTAAAACCGATAACAAAATGAAAATAAATAATATCAGAATACGCCAAATGCAAAAATAAATAGGATCGTTGTGAGGGAGCACCAGACTCACTGAAAGCCTTCAGCCCATTACGTGCTGAAAGAAAACGAGTTGAACAAAATCACGTCGCGTTCACTAATACTATTAATCGGGCATATCACAAAGATTCCCAAGGAGAGACTGGATTGAAATCAAATTCGGGTACGCGCGTTAGAATTGTAATGTGACCTGTAGCGGAAAGGTGTACAGAGAGCCAAGCGCACGATACTGTAGTATGCAGGATCGACCCCAGTTCTAAATTCACTCGAAGTACACCGGAAGATTGATTCCAGATAAATCCATGTCAAGGCAGGACTTCTCTTACTCACGGACAGGTTCGCGCCTTTGGTTAAAATAAGAAAGAAGCAACGTCCTCCTTGTTAGAAGGCTAATATAGATAGGGCTATAACCATTCGTAGAAGATGGTGGGCAGCCTATAAACTGTATGGCGCTCATCAGTCGGGGAATGGTAACGAACAAGCGCACAAACATACACAAAAAGTTCAGAGGGAGCCTGAATACCAATTTGAGAGAAAATTGGCCCAAAACATCTAGCGAAATCCTAAGTGTTTCTACGCATATGTCCAATCTAAGCAAAACACTTGGGAAACGGTTGGTACTATAGAATTATCGACGGGACAATTAGCAGTGAGTGAAACCGATAGAGCAAGTAGCCTGTGACAGTTCTTCATAAGCACGTACAGGATCCCCAGGGTAACAGATAACCTTCCATCAATCGAAGGTAACAGCACCGTGCCTCCAATCACCAAGGAAATTCAGTATGTGCAGCAGGAGTTGACCGGGCTCGATAGGTTCAAGTCGGCGCGACCTGATGGAATTCACCCAGAGATTGTACAACTGCTGGCTGACCTCATAGTGAGACCGATCTTCGAGTTATTTGAAGAGTCGCTTAGACTGAGATCTGTCCCGAACGCCTGGCGCAAAGCCACATTAGTGACAAGACACAAGTCTGGATCCCGGCAAAAAGCCGAGAATAACAGACCTGTAAGTTTGCCGTCAGTAATATGTATTTGAATCGCCTAGTTAGAAGGCAAACATGCCACTTCCTGGTCGATAGCGGGCTATTGGTATAAGCTTATCACAGATTTGTTGAAAAGAGATGTTGTCTGACAAACCTGCTGGTATTTCTAGATGAGGTCACACAGAGAACAGATGAGGGCCTACCGGTGTAGATATGCTACCTGGACTTCCAGAACTGACGAAGAGACGGCAAGGTGCCTGTCAATACGAAGGGTGCACGAGGCAAAGGATCTAGGCATAGTAGTTAAGCGGGATTTCAAACCCAGCAACCAATGTGTGAAGGTCGCAAGCAAAGCAAGGGGACAACTGTTTCGTCTATGCGCACAAAGAGGTGCAGAAAACCCGAGGTCTTTGTCCCCCTGTACAAAAGTATCGTCCGCCCGCACCTGGAATACTGTGTGCAGGCTTCGGCTCTGTTCTCTCGGAAGGACATCGATACCTTGGAGATGGTTAAACGTCCATCCACGAGAATAATACCTGGCCAACGGAGTAAAAGCTATGAACAGTGGATTCCAGATTTATATCTGTTTTCCCTCAAACGGAGGCGGACGAGAGGAGACTTCATGGAGACATTTAAGATAGTCAAGGGTATATCAGGTCTTAAGTTTGACAACCTCTCCTCCTGGATCCCGCATAGAGACACGCGGGGCATAACATACGTTTGCAGCAAAGCCACTCAAGGCTGCAACTGAGGGCAAAGATTTTCACTAACAGAGTAACCCTGTTGTGGAATCATTTGCCTATCTAATTAAGGAGCGTTACCTGGTAGATAGCTATCGCCAAAAAATGGTGATGAATGCTAAATCTCGACGGTACACTTGATTGTGTCCGGTGGAGAAAGGGTACTTAAGTAAGAAAAAACAGCGGTAATTTAGCTACCTGATCGTTAGGTTAAGTCGCTACTTGATATCTGAACCTGGATGGTTCTGATAAGTATATCACCGTCGTGTAACCAGGTCCTGATAATTCTCAATGACGCAAGGCTGGTTGGAAACTGAACCCGTCCTGTTGCTAATCACCAGTGTAGGGTAAAAGTGCTTCTGGTACGTGATTTGATGACCACGACCAGCTTGAATGGATCTATCAGTGTATCGAAAACTACTCTGCGCACCTGTACGGGTACCCAAGGACGAGGTGGGGTGCGTGAAACGTCAAACCAGATCGTGCCCTAGGAAGTGATTAGTGGTAAACACTGAAGGTTTAAAGAGGACTCCAATGCGTTTTGCAAGTTCGGGTCGGAATCTGGCAGTTGTGCCACACATGTCAAATCAATCCCTTTATCGGACACCAACGCTTTGCGCGAGAGAGCATCGGCAACGACATTATCCATACCTGCAATGTGTCGAATGTCAGTAGTGAATTGCGACACGAAGTACAAGTGACGTATCTCTCGAGAAGAGTATCTGTCACTGAAGGACTTCAGAACGTATGTGACTGGCTTATGGTCGGTAAAGATGATGAAATCACGGCCTTCTAGTGAGCGACGAAAAGGACAAACAGCCAGGTATGCTGCGAATAGTCCGCGACCGAAGGTGCTGTACCTCGTGGCCGCGGCCTAACAAAGTGAGTAGAAACCTAAAAATTGCCAGGCAATATCTTTCCACTTTTGGAGGACTGCACCGGCCGCGATGTCTGACGCGTCTGCTGCATCCACAGGTGGCTAACAGCTTTCCTGACTGATCGGACCTTCCAGGTTCTGGTCGCAGAAGCAAACTAGCCTGTGAAGACTAGTGTCATTGGTGCTCCTCAAGGATCAGTTCAGTTCTAGTTCCACTTCTTTTCGCGCTCTACATCAGTGATCAACGCCTTGGCTCGCCTAGCTGTATATTTGCGGGCGACGTCAAGGTTGTGGGATCGAGTGAGAGAGCGGAATTAGGGAGGGGCATAGGAGAAGTGCTCACGTGGTCAAGTACATGGGAGTTGCCTCTAAACATAGGAAAGAACCATGTTTGGAGACGAGAGATAATGGTGAAAAGTCATCGCAGTCTTTCAGTAGGAACGACACAGAAGACTAGAAATTTAGGAATCATAATGACAGCAGACTACAAATGAGCAGAACAGTGTGCCGCAAAGGCGCACTGCGCCCGTAGAGAGCTTTTTAGAATGCGGTCGGCACGAACATATAGGAAACTGGAGGTATTTAAACCTATATGCAAAGCAATTGATGGAGCACATCTAGAGTATTGTATACAAGCCTGAGTTCCATTCTTCAAAACGAACGCCGCTTGTCACGAGGAAGTCCAACGATTAGCCACAAGGATGATCGAATGACAGCGAGGGAAGCCGTATAAGCAGAGACTGCAGGACATTGGACACTTCTCCTTGGAAAGAAGAAGACTCCGGGGTGATTTGATAGAGATATTCAAAATTATGAATGGCCTATTAAGAACCAATCAAGCCGTGTT